GCTCACGGGCCCAGCCGCTCCGCGGCGTGTGGGATCTTCCCGGACCGGGGCACGAACCTGCGTCCCCTACATTGGCAGGCGGACTCTCAACCACTGTGCCACCAGGGAAGCCCCTGTTAGACTCTTCTTAATGTCCCAGGGCATGTGGTAGAGCGATCTGGAGCTTTTCTTGACTTGTTGGTTGTGATCTCAGCTGCATGACTGCTCCACCTCTTTCATTACTTCAGTTGATGACTCATCTCTTAATTTTTCTCCCAACATCAACAAAATGAAGTAGTGGATTAAAGAAACAAATGAAAGAAAAAAAAATATTTGTGATCTAACCCAGCCTTAGCCTTGCTGTGAATACTCAGGTGCTAATTTAAACTTTCCACCAAGGAAGAACAGAGATCAAGTTTATAGTTGACGTGCTCTGTGTTCAAGGCAACCCAGAAAATTACATACCTGAAGCTACTGAAAAGATAGTTAGAAAGCTGACCAGAGCAGGATTAGAATTGCCACTCCAAAAGAACAGTGATGAAACTCACCTTCAGAAAGTGTTCCAAACTTTGGTAAAAGCTGTTCTGTGAAACTGTCCTTCTTTACAAGTCTACATTTTTGCTCAGTGTACCAGAGAGATTGTTCTGTTTTTACTAAACCAAGCTTTATTCAACAGTGCTCTGTACCAGAGAGACTATAATCTATGAAAAAACAAAAAGTCCAAAGTCATTATGCAGTTGAAGGGGAGAGCATAAAAGCCCTTTGGCCATCAAAAATGTGAACAGAAACAGCTAGTAAGGATGTGCTTTCCCGGGGTATTTTTCTCCATTGATCATGTAAGGATTCATCAACCATTTCATCATAGGGGAAAAGCTGACGAATCTAGATTTATGAGTGAACATTCGTGCTGGGAACAGATAAAATCAGCAATCCAGGAGACTCAGCAGGAGGGAGTAGGGACTTGAAGGAAGACTCAAAGAAAAATTTCTCAAGTGAATCAGGGCACTACTTAGTGTAAATCAAGAGTTGGCTTTTATCCTTCACCCTGGCGCTTCCTGCTAAACTTTTGGAAATTAGCCAGTGTTGTAATTAACCCTCCCCCCGCCTCCCAGCTTTTCTTAAGTAAGAAAGAGAGTAAAATCTCCATCTTTTTCAATGGTGAGGTCACTGCAAATAACTTAAAGCCCTTCTTTCCTGTAAGACTGAGCGTTTTGGGAAGTATGCATGATGCCTGGGTGCTCATGCAACAATTAGGGTTCAGATTCCTCTACTTCTCCCTCTAAGTGAAGGCTGCAGACCGGGCACCCAGGGTGGCTCCTACTAAATGACTGAGAGGGGTGGTGGTGGCACTGCCACACATGGGCCTATCACCTCTGCCTTCGTGGTCCTCCCAGAGACTTCATTTCTTCCACCTGTAGATTCTTAGGAGTCTACCAAAATTCTATCTCTAAATCAAGCCCTATCCTCTGTGATTAGTCATTTCCACAACATGGAAATACTATTTTACTGTTAAATCAAAGTACATAAATTGCTTTTTTTTACACTGAATTATAGTTGATTTACAATGTTGTGTTAATTTCTACTGTACAACAAAGTGATTCAGTTATACATATATATATATATATATTCTCTTTTATATTCTTTTCCGTTATGGTTTATCACAGGATATTGAATATAGTTCCCTGTGCTATCCAGTAGGACCTTGTTATTTATCCATTCTGTATGTACTAGTTTGCATCTGCTAACCCCAAACTCCCAATCCAACCCTCCCCCACCTCCCCTGCCCTTGGCGACCACAAGTCTGTTCTCTGTGTCTGTTTCTGTTTTGTAGATAAGTTCATTTGTGTCATATTTTAGATTCCACATATAAGTGGTATCACATGGCATTTGTCTTTTTCTTTCTGACTTACTTCACTTAGTATGATAATCTCTAGGTCCATCCATGTTGCTGCAAATGGCATTATTTCATTCTTTTTTATGGCTGAGTAATATTCCACTGTATATAAAATACATAAATTTCTTTAGTTGACTCTCCAAAATGAATACCAATGTGCTCCTTTTGTCAGAAAATTCCATTATTGTGCATTACCAATATAGTCTTCACTTTACAAATGTTCCCGCCCCCCAAAAAAAAGATGTTTCCCACATCTGCCCATTTCAACGTTGACCGGCACACTCCTGCCTTTCCTTCAGGTCTTTGTTGAAACTTTGCTTCCTCCTTGATCTTCTGGTTAGGTTAGTCCCCTCTGTCATATAACCTCACTCATGACACTGTTTATTTCTCACACTCATTGCTCTTGTAACAGTGGTGCTTTCTTTTTTTCTTTCTCTTTTTTGGCTGCGTTGGATCTTCTTTCTCTAGTTGCAGCAAGCGGGGGCTACTCTTCGTTGCAATGCGTGGACTTCTTATTGCGGTGGCTTCTCTTGTTGCAGAGCTCGGGCTCTAGGCACATGTGCTTCAGTAGTTGCAGCATGAGGGCTCAGTAGTTGCGGCATATGGGCCCTAGAGTGCAAGCTCAGTAGTTGTGGCACACGGGCTTAGCTGTTCCGCGGCATGTGGGATCTTCCTGGACCAGTGACCATCCCGTGTCCCCTGCATTGGTAGGCGGATTCTTAACCACTGCACCACCAGGGAAGTCCCAACAGTGGTGCTTTCTTTCCCCCACTGGACTGCAAGCTACTTGGGCTACAGGGCAGTGCCTGTGTCATTTGCCATTGCATCCTCCACAAATAGCATGGCGTCTGGCATCTTTTGGGCTCTCAATCAAAATAGCTAAATGAACCACATCAGTCTCCCTTTAATTAATGATTATCTTTAGCACTTCTGCATTATAACCAAGAATTGCTATACCCACAAACTTTACGGGAATATAGAACTGTGCTGTGATAGTAATACCTGTTATTGTATAACATTGTGCAGTTTACAGACCTCTGTTTTATTCATTATTTTATTCCATTCTTACAGTCGCATTGTGAGGTAAGTAGGGTGGGCATTGCTGTCTTTTTTTTTTTTTTTTTTTTGCTGCTGTCTTTTTTTAAAAAAACTTTTAATTTCATATTGGAGTATAGCTGATTTACAATGTTGTGTTCGTTTCAGGTGTACAACAAAGCGATTCAGTTATACATATACATGTATCTATTCTTTTTCAAATTCTTTCCCCAATTAGGTTGTTACATAATACTGAGCAGAGTCCCCTGTGTTGTACAGTAGGTCCTTGTTGGTTATCCATTCACACCAGTTAGAATGGCCATCATCAAAAAATCCACAAACAATAAATGCTGGAGAGGGTGTGGAGAGAAGGGAACCCTCTTGCACTGTTGGTGGGAATGTAAATTGGTACAGCCACTATGGAGAACAGTATGGAGGTTCCTTAAGAGACTAAAAATAGTGTTGTCCTTATTTAAGGCGCGAAGAAACCGAACCTCAGGCAATTTTCCTCCACTGTAAGTGGTGAACAAAGACTCACTTCCAGGGCCTGTGCTGTTCCATGTCACCAGACTACCTAATGGTTACAAAGGCCTTCTACCAGGGTTTTCCTGTTTCCTTCCAGAAACTTGATTTTACCTTTTAATCCAATTAATTTACAGTTGGGTCGTTTTCTCTTTCTTCCCAATCAGTTCCACCAAGTCCCTGGCACAAAGTTCAAACCAGGGGCCTGGAGATAGTCTGAAACTCCACTGTGCTCAGTGTGGATTTCCCACCCGGCCCCCAAACATATGTTCCCAATGTCAGTGTCATTTTCTGACCCTACACCAATGTGTGGCACCATGCCTCCACATAAAGGGCCCTCAACACAGCCTTTGTTGGGAGTTCGTACCAGTTTTCTATCACAAAGTGAACGGGGAGACCATCTACTATAAGAAGGCCCTGTAGGAATATCAGCAAAAAGGGACGTCTGTGACTGAATGCCCATCAGAAGGCTCTTGGTGACTGAATTTCCACTGATCGGTATACATGTTGCCTTTGCAAACCTGTTACTTGTCTGTGTCATGTTACTATGCGTGGACATAGGTGTTACTGAAATACAGGGTCTCATGGTTACTTTTTGGTTTCACTTCAATCAACAAGGCTGGGGAGCTGCTGAGGACTGTCATGGTTTGTGAGTATTTAAGTTACTCTCGCATCCTCCTTAGGAAATCGCTTTGATAGCCAGTTGCTGCTTTACCTGAGCCTGGCTTGGTTAGGACGGACAGATGACTCCAGCCTCCTCTCTTGCCTCTGCTGAAGGTTCTCCAGGTGCCCTCCTCACTCCCCATGATGATTTTTTACGACCTGTAGTTTCTATGTCCTTTAAATATAGTAGGCAACACGGGATTCATATACAGAGTTCGTCTCTTTCCTGTTTCTTTGTATCCCTGTTATGCAGCATATCTGCAATACGTCTTGTTTGCAAAGTAGTTTCTATTGCCTTTTTAAATTAAGGGACTTGGATTGGTCTATAATTTGCTAGCAATTATAGTACAAATTAAACTGGATAAAATAGTTTTTAATAACCGTTAACATGTTGATTACATTTAATGTATCGCACATATTTATACATTAGAACTCAGAGAGTTAAATGAAACCTGTTCCCTCTCAGTTTTTCATTTTAATATTCACTAATGAAGAATAATCAAAGAAGATGATTTGGCTTCTGAAGTGATTGGATGTGAAAAGCCAAGTGTGAAGGAAACCAACTTACACTACTTCTGTACTACCTTTGAAAGACCATTATTACTTCTCATGGGCAGTAGAGAAATAAATCAGTGGCTTTATCAATGCAATGGGGCAGTCACTTTAGTCTTAATCTTCCCTCTCTTCCATTCTGGGGAAGTACAAATTAACCAAATAGTGTGTATTTTTTAGCGGATATCAAAGGAATACTTCTTTGATAATGAACCTCGTGTTTTTCTTGCTTTCACAGTAATAAACGACTGGTGGCCTTAGTGCCCATGCCCAGTGACCCTCCATTTAATACCCGAAGAGCCTACACCAGTGAGGATGAAGCCTGGAAGTCGTATTTGGAGAACCCCCTGACGGCGGCCACCAAGGCCATGATGAGTATCAACGGTGATGAGGACAGCGCTGCCGCCCTTGGCCTGCTGTATGACTACTACAAGGTAGGACCTGAAGCCCCGCCTCCCTCCACTTTCTGCCTCCAGGGCCTCCCCTCTCTAGTGGGCAGAGGGGCCAGATTCTTCATCCCAGGCCAGAGAATGAATGGCATTGCCACACTCGCTCTGGAATTCAGCCTCTTCCTGTTCTCATTGCGTCTCTGCATTCCCATCTATAAAGCACGACTTTACCACCCCACCCCGAGGGAGTTTCCATTTTAGGATAATTTTTTCTGTGCCCTCTGTTTACAAGCATACATATTATCTACGTTTAATTTCTACTTCATATCATACTGCAGATCCTTCTTTGCTGCCATTTTTACTTTATGATTTTTGGTGAATAAAGAATATTACATTGTGTGGCTGTACCATAATTTAGTCATTGCTCAGTTTTGGGGCATTTAGGTTGCTTTTATCTTTTCTTATTTTATTTTTTAATTAAGTAATGAGAACCTTAAAAAAAAATTTTTTTTAATTTAATTTTTTGGCTGTGCCACACAGCTTGCAGGATCTTAGTTCCCCGACCAGGGATTGAACCCTGGCCGTCGGCAGTGAAAACAGAAGTGAAAATGCCGAGTCCTAACCACTGGACCACCAGGGAACTCCCTAGGTTGCTTTTAGATTTTCCATTTTATAAGAAACATCAGGGTTTCTAGATTTTTCAGTTTTGTAAGGAATACACCAATGAATACTTTAGTGGTAGGCTTTTGCAGCAATTCCAAAATCTAACTGTCTCCATTTGTTTCGATGAGTACTCAATATTTATTTTGAAAAACCCTTAAAACAAAATGAATGTAATTCGCTTGCATTACAAAAATACCTGCCATAGTTACTTTCAAAATAGGAGTATTTCAGGAAATCGAACAACAAACAATGGTCTGCCTCAACTATAAAGGACTATATCTGTTATGACCTGCTCCCTTAGAACCAATGAAGTGTAAAAAATCAACAGGTATTTACTGAATGAGGATATTTATTGCCTGACTTGATTGTAAACACTGTGGGCTTACGATGCTATTGACACAAAGGTGAGAATGGCCGTGTTTATTTTGCTGGTTGGGCACGGTGAACTCTTTATTTTAGAATAAGAACTAAATCTCCCTCTTCCCCTCTCCCTCCATCATGAGAAAATCACCCAAGAGGCATCATTTTTCTTTGGGTAAGCACCAGTCTCAGCTTCCTGATTCCTCCCAGTGGTCTCACTTCTGCAAGTTGTGTTGTCCCCGGGTCTCTCCTAAACCAGGGTTTTTGTGCTTTACGACGATTTCCCACCACCATGGACTCTGACACTGCCCCCGGGCCTATTTCTTTCACCAAAGTTCTCTAAACTTACTCATTCCTTTTCCAGCTTCTTCCCATTTTCTCTATTAAAACACTCAGGAGGGCTCCCTCCATGGGGAGAAGAATGAAAGCCAAGCCAAGTTGTGCTTATTTAAGATGAAACACGAGGTATGAGTAACTGATAGGTTGGCCCATCCAGGCTGCTTTAAATGAGGATATTATTAACTCAAATAAATGCATTTTTTATGGTTGGAAAGTGCTGGAGAAATACGGGAAGGGCATTCCACTAGTACCCTTGCCAGTCTAGGCTGATTTTTTTTCCCTTTACCAGCGGAGCTGGAGTTGGCCGATTTCGACAGCTCTCTTGTGAAGCTGTACAGCTCCCATCACGTCTCCTGACATAGCAAGAAAGGGCTTTAACTTTGGGAATTGGGGTCCAGATGAAAGGATATTTTAGGGTCTAACCTCCATTCCATGTAAGCAGGGCAGTTTCCTACAATGAACAGGAATCGCCTGAAGAAAAACGAGCCTAAAAACAAAGATGGTTTCTTGGCAGGCTTTCCTTTCTTCTTTTCTTTGTTTGTGGTTGTTTTATATATTTCAATCCTTTTTGACTAAGGAGCTTATTTGAAAAACACAAGGATGAACTCTAAACGTTTTGGAGTCAGAATTTTCAGAATGTATTGAGGACGGTATAGAAACACAGAACTTACCATGTTAGACTGCTTCATGTTATAGGCTATTTCTTGAGGGTTCAGCTTTATTGGACTTTTGTGTTAGTGTGTAATGTTCAGAAATGGTCTCATCCCTAGAAAGGAATCACAAAGCAATTTTCCTTTATTATAAAAAATAGTTAAAACTTGACACCTTTTAAAAAAAATATCTTTATTGGATTGTAATTGCTTTACAGTGTTGTGTTAGTTTCTGCTGTACAACAAAGTGAATCAGCTGTATGTATACTTATATCCCCATATCCCCTCCCTCTTGAGCCTCCCTCCCACCCTGCCTATCCCACCCCTCAAGGTCGTCACAAAGCATCGAGCTGATCTCCCTGTGCTATGCGGCTGCTTCCCACTAGCCATCCATTTTACATTTGGTAGCGTATATATGTCAATGCTACTCTCTCACTTTGTCCCCTCTTCTCCTTCCCCTGCTGTGAAAAATTGATACCTTTATCAATCTTTAAAATCTAGTAACATATTAAAGTGACCCTGATTTAATCACTTGGGTCATTACTACATTTTTTGGTAACTTTTATAACTGTGTTAAACAAATACGTTAGTTAATGCTTTTATAAGACTTTGAAGAAATACATTAAGATACACTTTGAAAAAATATATTTTTCTTATATTTATATTCTTTATATCTTATATTCTTATTCTTTATATCTTATATTCTTATGGATATAATTTCAGGTATCTGTATTAGATGGCAATTCTTTTGTATTAATGAAAAAGAGAAACACACCTTGAAACAAAAATCATTAGTAATTTAGGAAAGCAACGTATTTTATTTCCCACAGGTTCAGAGGATAAAGTGTTAGTAAGTATGGTACCTGGATTACCTCTCCTCTTGCACATTTTTAAGATTTAGAGGAAAGTTGAAATACTGCTTTCTGTAAATATTTTGTAATGCAGAGTAGAGAGTTTACATAAAACTCAATTTGAGGATGTAGAGAAAAAGGAACTCTTGTATACTGTTGATGGGAATGTAAATTGGTGCATCCACTATGGAAGACAGTATGGCAGTTTCTCAAAAAACTAAAAATAGAACCACCATATGACCCAGAGGTTCCACTCCTGGATATATATCTGAAAAAAATGAAAACACTAATTTGAAAAGATACATCCACCCCAGTGTTCATAGTAGCACTATTTACAATAGCCAAGATATGGAAGCAACCCAAGTGTCAGCGTCAGCTGACAAATGGATAAAGATGAGGTATATAAATACAATAGAGTACTATTCAGCCATAAAAAAGAATGAAATTTTGTCACCTGCAACATCATGGATGGACCTGGAGGGTATTATGCTAAGTGAAATGTCAGAGAAAGACAAACACTGTATGATATCACTTATATGTGGAATCTAAAAAATGAAAACAAACTAGTCAATATAACAAAACAGAAACAGACTTCAATATGTAGAGAACAAACTAGTGGCTACCAATGGAGAGAGGGGAGGGGGGAGGGGCAAGATAGGGGTAGGGGATTAAGAGGTACAAGCTACTACGTATAAAATAAGTTACAAGGATATATTGTACAATGCAGGGAATATAGCCAATATTTTATAATAACTATAAATGGAACATAGCCTTTAAAAATTGGCAATCTCTATGTTGGACACCTGAAATTTTTTTTTTTGCGGTACGCGAGCCTCTCACTGTTGCGGACTCTCCCGTTGTGGAGCACAGGCTCCGGGCGCGCAGGCCCAGCAGCTATGGCTCACGGGCCTAGCCACTCCACGGCACGCGTCCCCTGCATCGGCAGGCGAAGGCTTTCTCTAGTTGCGGCGAGCGGGGGCTACTCTTTGTTGCGGTGCATGGGCTTCTGATTGCTGTGGCTTCTCTTGTTGTGGAGCACGGGCTCTAGGCGCACGGGCTTCAGTAGTTGTGGCACGCGGGCTCAGCAGTTATGGTTCACGGGCTCTAGAGCACAGGATCAGTAGTTGTGGTGCACAGGCTTAGTTGCTCTGAGGCATGCAGGATCTTCCTGGACCAGGGCTTGAACTCATGTCCCCTGCATTGGCAGATGGATTCGTAACCACTGTGCCACCAGGGAAGTCCTGTTTTTTATGTATTTTAATGATTTAAATTCACATTATCTAGATGAATGAGTGAATAAGTGATTTAATAAATATTCATAAGCTGTTGAAATATTCATAAGCTGTTGAAACCAGCTTTTTATTTTTGGCTTATACATATACATTATAGAAAATTCAGGGAAGCTTAAAGAAGAAAGTGAAATTTCCTGTAATTTTTCTGTCATATTATTTGGCATCATTTTCTCCATCGCTGAACGATTTTGAACATAAGCCTGGTAGACTGGAGAAATGATTTATACATGTTACAGCAACAGCAGCAGCAGCAGGGAGGTGGGTTATGAGCAGAGAATCCAGTGAACAGTTCGTTGCAATAGTCCAGATAAAAAATGATGAAGCCCTAAAGTAAGACATGATGGTAGCTGTTCCTGGGTCAGCATTTGTGAGGTTCTCTCTGAATCAGCCACTCTGTTTAGTCAGCCATACTGCATAGAGACAAAGCAGTATGTTCAAGAAATCACTGAGTATTTGTTTGAATAAAAGCTGGCAACTGGGGCTTCCCTGGTGGCGCAGTGGTTGAGAGTCCGCTTGCCGATGCAGGGGACGCGGGTTCATGCCCCGGTCCGGGAAGATCCCCCATGCCGCAGAGCGGCTGGGCCCGTGAGCCGTGGCCAATGAGCCTGCGCGTCCGGAGCCTGTGCTCCTCAACGGGAGAGGCCAAAACAGTGAGAGGCCCACGTACCAAAAAAAAAAAAAAAAAAAAAAAGCTGGCAACTGATTGTGTGTGTGTGTGTTTGTGTGTGTGTGAGATTTGGTGGGAGAACCCTATAATTAGGGTCATAATATCTAAGCTGATTCTCAGATTAACGAAGGCAGAGTACTGAAGAAGGGTTTTGGGGAAAAGGATAATTGTTGAGTTTGATGCGCTTGTAGGATGTCTAGGTAGGGATGTCTGATAGACAGTATTGCGGGTCTAGACTTGAGAAAGGGGCCTGAGTTCAGAGGTCTCAGTTTCTCTAAGAAGGACAGTCTTTGGGAAACCAAAGGTAAACATGGTTCAGCCTGGCCCAGATGGGAGCAAACCCAAAGGTTTCCCTTTGTCACATTGTGCCCAATACTGTAGACTGAGCAGGCTGCTCAGAGCTGGCATCACTCCATCTTAGCAACACTAATGTTCACTTCCAGGAGTCTTTGGGAGTTACTAATACGTTTTAGTGTTTGGAATCCCTATTCCTCCTATTTCTTTGATTCTACTTTTTGCAGGCCATTTTGATTGATTCAGTCATTCTTTCAACAAGAATTTAGTGAGGGCCTGCTACATTCCAGGCGCTTGGGACATAACCATGCACAAGGTGGACACTCGTGGAGATTGTAGTCTAATCTTGGATATGAACATTTAGATGGTTCTCGAAGTAAGCTCACAAGTTAGCTTAGAGAAGGCATGGGTAGGGTGGGGCAGGGGACTTTGTGATGGTTCTGCTGCAAGAAGGAGCATTGCATGGTCAGAGATGCAGTGTGGCTGTACACACAGCAGTGATGGGGGTGGCCCAAGTTGAGGCAGAAGAGTTTTTGGAGGCCATGTTCCTGAGAATAACGGGAAGCATTGAAGAGTTTTAAGTAAGAGCATAGTGGGGTCAGACTGAAAGATCACTGTGGATCTTCTTACTGGATCCCAAATGGATTTGCAGGGGTTAAGTGAAGGAGAGGAGAGACCAGTTAGGCTGATGCCGTAGCTCAGGTAAGAGATTTCGGGGGCTGAACCAGGAGGCAGGCATCCACAGGGAAGTTGATGGATTTGAGTCACAAGGGATTTAGTGTAATGTCTTCAAGCTTCATCCATATTATAGCATGTATCAGAATTTCATCTTCAAGGCTGAATAATATCCCATTGTATGTATATATCACATTTTGTTTATCCATTCATCTGTAGATGGATGGACATTTGGGTCATTTCCACTTTTTGGCTATTGTGAATAATGCTGCTATGAACATGGGTGTGCTGGGTATTAAAATTTTATGTTTATCTGTCGTTTTCAGTAGATGAGAGGAGCTATGTTTTATTCATTTCATTTCTGTCTAGCACTTAGTAATGCCTGCTACATTGTAGACCCTCATCATTGACATGTGAGTGAAGGACAATTGATTTACTTTATTTTTATTTAACCAATGCTTATAAATTCCCAGACACTCTAAGTGGCTTTAAAAAAATTAACTCACTTAATTTTACTAAACACCCTGTGAGGTATAGGACTACCGTTATGCCTGTTTTACAGCTGAGGAAACCGAGGCAGAATTAGTAAGTGGTAGAGCTGAGATTTGAACCCAAACAATCAGGTCTAGGCCTGGACTCTTAGCCACCCTGCTATGTTGCCTCCCTTGCCCAGCTAACTGGGCTTGCATACATATTCAGGTGAGTGGAAACTATCCATGAGGATTGCTAGTCCGGAATCCAGAAGAGAGATGCTTCTCATAAACGCTCTCTTATGTCAGAATAGTGAAGGCGGTGTTTTGAGTGCAAAGGTGTTTGGCTAGAAGGAAGATCTGGAGATTTAGGAAGAAACAAAATCAGAACCAAAAAAACCCAAAACATCCAACCAGGCAAACAAATCTAAACCCACCATTCATGTGTTTGAGAACTATGGTAGAGATAGGTAAGCGATCCTTAATGCGGTAGGGCGGTCATATGATGTTCAGAAACACAGCTGGTAGGGGGATCCCTTCTCTCAAGTAGCACTTTTTCAATAATCTTCCATGTAATATGTTGGCATTGTGGTTGTGAAGTCAATAATAAAAGTGCATTAGAAGAAGCAGGGTGGGAGCCAGTTTGAGAGCTAGGGAGGGTAGGTGAAGGCTGGCTCAGGTATTAGATGTTGCTCCCTCACTGGACAGTGCAGCCCCCTACCCAGTTTGCCCCCCTGCATGTCAGCACCTGGAGTCCCTCATCAGAGTGGAGGATCAGTCCCTGTTCCTTAATGGGATACCTGTTGTAGTTCCAAGATGTTTTCTGTCTGCTCCAGAGCACAGATCCTCTTACCCTTTCCCCTCATCCACTCCCAACCGAGGTGGGGAGGGCTCAGAAGGTGCTCAGGTCCAGCGAGAGAGAGTTGCCAGTGTCAGCAGGGCACAGCAGAATCAGGATTGCTGTGGCCCTACATTGATTATCACCCTTTTGTATCCGGTCTACTGGCATTGCCAATCAGGCTGGTTACCTTTAACCATCTCCTGGCCATTGCAAATTTGCCACCGTTCTCTGGAGAATGTTCCATTTCCTTTTCTTTGCTTATGCTGGTGTCAAGCTCTGCATCTACATAAGTCTGACTGATGGTTGGTGATGTTTTCAGGTTCCTCGAGACAAGAGGCTGCTGTCTGTAAGCAAAGCAAGTGACAGCCAAGAAGACCAGGATAAAAGGTATGATAATATATACAGGAATATGCCTGACTCCCCAGATAACTCTTTTTCTACGTTTTTTGAAAACAATAGTATTAAACTATAACTTTTGTTCTTGAGAGGATATGGGAGTCAAGAAGCTTCATGTCTGCTACCTGGTTTTGGAGTCTGGAACAAAACTGGATCTCTCAGGCGGGAGAGAAAATTGTATTTTTTGGTTTTGCAATTCTGCAAAGGGCATTCAGTATCTTCCAAGGAGGCTGCAGATCCCAAGAGTTAGAGGTGATATACAGGCAAGATAGCCTACTGCTGGCGTGAACTTTTCTGTCTGTCCGATGGCTGTATGACTGCGATGAGGCCCTTGAGGGAGTGAGACATTTGAAGATCGTCTTTGATAAGGGGGAGAGGAAGGAGGCCAGGCTGATCTCAGTTCAGGGAGGAGCTGGTAGAGAGCCATGGGTGGCAGGGGACACTGTTGGGGTGCAGGGGCAGGAAAGATGTTAGGAGACCATAGGTCATACTCCTTTCCTTCAATCCTGAGTTAAGAACCAGTTGAAAAACAAGAAACAGACAGATTGAAATTAAAAAGGAAAAAAAATCAATTTTACTTCTGATGAAGCTAATTAGAGAATGTGATTTTGAACCAGCAATTTGTAACATTTCAGTCCTGACTTAGATATGGCTATTCATCCAGTCCGTCCCAAGCAGGACTTCAGGCCTCCCTGAAGGGACAGGCCACTGATGGCATGGCCGCGGTGACTGGAGTGTCCCCTTTCTTTGGCCAAGATGATCCAGACATAAAGAGGGAACCACAAGGGTCTGAAGCACCTTGCTCAGCTACTTCTCCCAAACTCACCAATCAAATACATCTGTTCCCCTGCAGAGGGACGGAGAAGCCACAGTGCTTTTCTGTTGGGGGGTTTTTCCACTTGGAAACATGAAGCCAGGAGAAATGAAGTCTCCTGCTAAAACACATGTCAGAATCTTTCCTGGCCTTGATAGGAGCTGCTTGTGACATTGTGATCTTGTCATACGACTAGCAGTGGGGGCCACCCCGCCCATCAGTGGTCCTGTGCTGTGTATCACCTCTAAGGCACGTCCCCAGCAGGTGATCAAGGCTGTCTGCACCTGACTTGTGGTTCCACAGGGATCTTCTGATGCTCTATGCTGCTTTGGGGCCCTGGGCACTAGTGAGTAGCAGTGATGACAGGGAGAAAGAGGCTGATGCTCTTCAGGTCCTATAACTTTTCCACCATCCAACCAGCATTTATTAGGCTAAGCAAGTGCCGTCTCCTAAGACCTATACCAGTAATCACAGAAAAGTTGGGGGAGGCGTGGGGGGTGGAGGTGGGGAGGGGAACGAATCTAAGATGTGTGCTCTGTATGTATCATAATAGACAAAAGAGCCCATGTTTTGGTAAAGTATCTTCTAGAGCAACATTAGAGACTGATAGCCACTCACTGTATTTTAAAGGCCATTTTTGTGATATCAATGGAGTGCCTTAAAAAAAAACTGGCGGTGAGGTATAGACAAACCACCTTGTATGGACTGATTATGACTTAGTAGACTTCCGGTTGAATGTAATTTGGAAGGATATCATTTGGTCTGCAATGTACTCATGAATTAAGGTGCCATGTGCTGACATGATATCATTACAAATGTTCGTATACAGAAGTCGCCACTTTGAAAAGTAATCTCAATGTCATGACCCCAAATTTTTTAAAAGTATATTTCAATGAACCATTCTTAGCCTTGCATTTTTTTCTCACATTATAATGTTTGGTTCAATTTTAAATTCTATTGCAGGTGAGTCAGTATATCTCACAATAATTCTTACTTTGTTCTGATCACCCATTTTTTGGATGACTTCCAGAGTTCTCTGGCATCAGCTTTTAAGGTCGGTGCTATTCTATAGAGGCACATTTACACATTATAGGATGGTGCCGAGTCTGTTGTTCCCTTGTCTCATGGTAGTGACGATTCAACTAGATTTGCACAACTCTATTAGTTTGCTTATTTATTTGTTTATAAGCACACCAGAAATATTTTGACGTGTGTTTCTTGTTTAGAATCCAAGTGTTTTGCATGAATTAAAGACTTAAGAAATTTGGACTGAAGTGGACTCTAACTGTAGAGGAGTTGATTAATTTTGAATATTTTGGCAAAGCCAGTAAGACCGTGCTTGTGCAAAGCCCAGAAGTGCTGAAAGTGGATAATTGCTTTGGTAGCTAGTGAACGTAGACCAACCGTCCTACACCCAACTTGCAGAACATTACCCACAAGTATTAGTAGTTACTCCTCCACAGAAGGGTCCCGGATAAAATGAGTTTGAGAAATTCTGGGTTACAGTTAAACAAGTGGAGGAACCCTTGGGGACCTTTACTGTGTTCACGACTGTGACTCACCAGGGTGGTCTTGTTTAGGCAATTTTTTTTTTAATACTGATTTTATCATGGTCTCCTTTCTTTGAGGAACATATATTAACATTCTATGCAATGTTCTCAACAATAAGGTTTGGGAAATACTGAAATAAATGGGTGGCCTGGGTTTTGGCATCATCGGCTTACTGGATTCAGATTGAACATAATTCCTAAATTTTCACTGTGTCTTAGATACAGATTCATTGTATTGATATAGCCATGAAAGCAGGTTATTACTTAAAGCCAGAATGTTTATAGACTCACGATTTCATTCTTTAAAGGGTTTGTTTCTAGAATGATTTCTACAGGTCTGTGACTGACTCGGAGAGGTCCAGGTATTTTTCTGTTGGCTTTGTTCATGTGGAGCCATTCTTTCCTCAAGCTTCACTTTGAAGTTTTATTTGAAAAATCAAAGCTAAAAATACCGAGTCCTGTTTGAGAGGCAAACTCAGAGGCGAGTGGATTTCCTTTACAGAGAGGAGCCACGAGAGCCCAATTCTTGGAAGAACCAATTTTATTCAAATATTTCTCTCGATGAGAGATCGCTGTAAGCCCCAGAAAGCACATGCTAGTTTTAGAAAAACAGACATTGGGGACGGGGCTCCACGCAAAACGTGCATTTTCTCTCTGTGTCATTCAGAATAATCTATAAATAAGAGGTGGCCTCAAATCTTACCACAAGGACTTTGCTAGTAAAATCATTTTGCTATCAATAACGCTCTTTTCGTAAGAAGTTTCTCTCTGCTTCTGCTCTCTCCCAGTATTCTATAGTATAGATGAAAGTATTTCATCTTATACTGGCAAGAATTAATCTTCTGAATCCTTTCCTTTCTCTTTGTAGCACAGGAGGTCTGAGATCTGAGAGATCTTGTCTTACGTAAGCCCAGTTACACCACCTCCTTAAGCCCTGAAAGTAATTCAGTGCTAAGGACATCAATGAGCTGATGGTACTTCTCAATTTAGTGAAAATATTCTAATGATAAATTCTCATTATATTATTATTATTATTTATTTATTTTTTTTTTGCGGTACGCGGGCCTCTCACTGTTGTGGCCTCTCCCGTTGTGGAGCACAGGCTCCGGACGCGCAGGCTCAGCGGCCATGGCTCACGGGCCCAGCCGCTCTGCGGCATGTGGGATCCTCCCAGACCGGGGCACAAACCCGTGTCCCCTGCATCGGCAGGCGGACTCTCAACCACTGCGCCACCAGGGAAGCCCTCTCATTATATTATTTTTCCTGCAAGGAGTTTAGCCTGCAGAAGAGTGAAAAATATTCTTTCCACTCTCTTCCTTTAACTTATTGTCCTGCTCCCACCTTTTTTCAAAAAAGCTACTTAGAATGTTTTCTTCTGAAAGCTTTCAAACATACCCATAAATAAAGACGATGGTATAATGAACTCCCAGATACCCATCCCATCCTCCGGGTTCAGCACTGATAACTTTGTGTTACACCTACTTAAACTTGACCTTTTCTTTCTTTCTTTCTAAATTTTTATTGCAATAGTATTCAAAATAAGTTCCTGGCTTACTTTATGCCATTTCACCTCTAACAACTTATGATTTGTATCTCTAAATAAAGACATTTTATTACCTAATCTCAAAATCATTATCACATCTAGGTGAGTTAACAGTACTTCCTTAACATCAGCTACCTCTCAGTTCATATTCAGTTGTCTCAAAAATCCCACTGCCTCATAAGTGCCTTTTTGGTTTTTTAGATCAGGATCCAGACAAGATCTGCTAATCCTATTTGATTATGTCTTTTAAGTTTCTTAACCTAGAACAAGTCTCCCACTTTTCTTTCTTTTTTCATGCCTCTGACTTATTGAAGAAACCAGGTCAGTAAGATGTGTGACATTCTGGTTTGTATGATTGTTTCTTTTCAATGTTGTTTAAATTATTCTTCCAGCTCCCATATATCCTAAGAACTGGAAGCTAGATGTAAAGGCTTGCTTGATTTAGAGTCAGCTGTTTCGGGGGGGGGGGTGGGCAATAGCACTTTCTAGGTGGGGCTCATTGCATGATACCAGGAGGCACATAGGTGTAGTTGTCCTCCTTCTAGTGATACAAAGATTCATTGCATTCCATTGTAAAGTTTGCCATCAGCTCTCCCCCTAATGCATTAGCATCCACTGATTCTTGTTTACATCAGTTATTAGGAGTTGCAGAAGGGTGATGTTTCTAATTCTGTTCTGTTGCGGGGTGTGGGTTTAAACACACAGAAACTGTCTTGGCACCAGTGGAGCCCACAGTAGTTTGAGTGGAGGAGAAAACCGAGTGCAGGTCCTAAAGACTGTTCCAGTGAACCTTTCCCTAAACCAAGACCACCTGGAGAATTCAAAACGGGAACAGTATAGCACGAACGTCTCTGAGAGCCCAGCCGTCATCCCCATGGCGGGAATCACAGTGGTGAAGGCCGAAGATTTCACGCCGGTTTTCACGGCCCCACCTGTGCACTATCCCCGGGGAGATGGTGAAGAGCAACGCGTGGTTATCTTTGAACAGACTCAGTATGGTGTGCCGTCCGTGGCCAGCCATAGCACCTACCTCAAGGATGATCAGCGCAGCACCCCGGACAGTACTTACAGCGAGAGCTTCAAAGACGGAAACACAGAGGTGAGTCCCTGGCTCTTACATCAGCAGCTGGAACTGAAACCCAAAACCACCTAACTTGTTTTCTCTGTTGGCTTTTTAAGTGGGATGAGTGAATTCAACTGTGAGTTTAAGATTTTGTTTGTTTTTTTTTTTAAACATGCCTGCATCTTTCTTCATAAACGGGTTTTATTAGACCATTGGCCTAGGTGTGTGGCGGAATATTTCCGTTTTCCTGCCTCTTAGATGACAGATTCCTTGACTGGTTTTAGTTTTAGTCTTAAAATGAACTATTTTTGAAGAACAAAGGGCTGTTTGCGTGGAAATTTCCTACTTTGTAAAGTTTTCACTTTGACCTCTTCTAGTTTGTAACTTTCCAAATGGCAGCCAAAGATGTTGCCTGCCCATCACTTTTTAAAACAATATAACTCTTTAAAGACCTTGTCTGATTGAATACTCAAGAAAGAATTGGTATTGTCAATAATCAAGTGTGTACATGTATGTGTACTTGGTACCTTACAAATAGATTCTATGTATTCTTCTCGTGTGCCCAAAGAACTTACGGAAGCAATGATCTTTGCTTGCTTGTTTGTTTTAAATTCACACGTTTGAAAATTTTGCTAATTGTTTACAATGATGTAACCAACGTCAGAATCAGTGGAAAGTTTCCTCATCCTAAGAGTTTGAATTTCAAGCCCTCCCGTCTCCTCTTGCTCGTGGCAGACACAGATTAGCCTTCTGTCACTATACTTCTGCTTTTTCTCAAATTTCATATAAATGGAATGGTAGAGTATAGAGTCTTGTATGTTGCCTTCTTTCATTTAGCAGAATCTTTTTGAGATTCATCTATGTTATCGCTTGTGCTAATAATTTGTTTCTAAAATTGCTGAGTAGTATCCCACGGTAAGCATGTATCACAATTTATTCCCCAGTTGGTGGACTTTTGGTTGTTTCTAGGTTTTGGCTTCTAGGGTTTGGCTATTATGAATAACGCTGCTGTGGACATATGCTTTCATTTGTCTTGTCTTGTGTAAATACCTAGGACTGCACTTGCTGGGTCATGTGGTAAATGTATGTGAAACACTGCTGACAGTGTTTCAAGGTGGCTGGAACATTTTCATTCTCACCAGCAATACATGAGGGTTCCCCTTTTCCATATCCTTGCCCAAACTTGATATTGTCCGTCTTTTTAACTGTAGTCGTTTTACTGCATATGTGATCGTGTCTCATTGTGGTTTAAAATTGCATTTCTCTGGTGTCTAGTGATGTTGAATATTATTCCGTGTGTTTATCTGACCGTTCCTATAACTTCTTTTGTGGAATGTCTGTTCAAATAATTTGCCCAATTTTTAAATTGGGTTATTTGTCTTCCTTTTATTAAGTTGTAAGAGATCCTTAAATAGTGTAGCCCTTTATCAGTTATACGTTTTGCAGTGTGATAGCCACTTTATTTTCTTAACTATGTTTTTCAAACAGCAACAGTATTTAATCTTGATGAAGTCCAGTTAATCAATATTTTCCTCTTAGAGTTTATGCTTTCGATGTACAGTTTAAGAAGTCTTGGCCTAACCTAATGTCACAAAGATTTCTCTGGTTTTTTTTCTAGACATTTAATAGTTTTACATCTTACGTGTAGGTTTATGATCCACTTTGAGATAATTTTTATATCTGGTGTTAGAGAAGGGTTGAGTCCCATTTCTTTCCCACATTGATATCCAGTGTTCCAGCATCATTTGTTGAAAAGACAATATTCTTTCCATTTAATTGCCTTGGGATCTTTGTAGAACAACAATTGCTGATATAATTGTGGATCACCTCTCCAGTTTTTGACCCAGAATATGTAATGCTTTTCTTCTTGTCTTTAGTTCAGGTCAGCTGCTTCAACATTTAGGAGCAGTGCCTTTACATTTGAGTAGATGGTCACTGACATCTCATTTTGCACTCCACCTGGGTCAATAAAAGACAATGGCAGAAGGGGAAAACTTGTGGTTTCTTATTTCTTAAAGAGGAGTGACTGTGGTGGCAGTATACCAAATACTTGCAGCCCGATACCCATTTAGTTGCCAATGGGACAAAATTCAGCCACCTGAGGCTGAAATTGTAACCCTAAATAATCATATTTTAAAATAATAAGCATTTGATGAGCACCTACTTTGTGCTGGGCATCATTCTAAGTGATATATACTCATCTAATCCTCACAAAAACCCTATGAGGTACTGTTATTGTCATCTGTGTTTTCCAAATGAGGATACTAAGGCACAGAAAGCATAAGAACACCCATGGTCGCACCGTAGTAAGTGGCAGAGATGGGACTTGCCACAAGCTGTCGGGCTCCAGGGCCAGTGTCCTTAGCCGTTACCTCTACACTCAGAGACACTGTGGGACCTTCCAGTTCTTAGGAGCTCCATAACTGAACATAGTGCCTTGCTTAAATGTGTTTGTTTTCTTAAATGAGGATTCTTTGTCTACGTCATTAGCTATTTCTCATCTTTCATATGAGAATAAGAGGAACAAAAGGAACCAGCTCTCTGCAGCGTTGGGAGGGCCTCACAGTAGACAAGTCACACTAGCAGCCCTTCTTTTCCTGGCCTGTCATTCCTGAGTGCCTGCTGCATTCTATGAAATTGGGGAGTGAGCAGAGTGAGACACAGTAAATTCCCTGCCCTTACCAGGCTTCCGTATTTCTTGGGCTCTAGTAGCTTTATATCAAACCTTCAGTGTCCTTGTAATAAAAATATTATCTTAAAGTTTGCTCCTTTAGCTTCCTGTGTGGTGTGGCTTAAAAGAGTCAACAACCTGCTGCTGCTGCTGCTTTTTTTTTTTTTCAAACTGAGCAAGGGATCTCGTAGGGTTTTTGGTATTGTTGAATATTTGATTTGCCCTCAAGCAGTCAGGGGTGCTTCTGTAGAGAAAAGCAAGTCATTCCACGTAGGAATGTGAGGTGCATACTTTTTCACTAAAGGGTTGCTACTAATGTTTTTCTCACACAGTGCAGAAATATTACATTAGTCACAGAAGAGTCCGTGGATGTGGTCCAATGTCAGCGGAACCATCATGCTACTTGGAGGATGTGTTATGAGTTGTGTTTGTGTTGTAGGTAAAGAGGCTTATGAAAGGACGCAATTGTATTTGGGGTTTTATTTTGGAGTGGATGAGAAAGCAACTTACCAGAAACTAAATGTGAAAGTTATTTCCACCGAGTTTGGTTTAGCTGCTCTCCTAGTCTTGGAAATCAGTGTTTACATTGCATATTATAATTCAATCTGATGTAAATTAAATGGAATGATTTATCATGATCTTTAGCCATGGCACTGTCAACTGGTTATAAGATCAGGTGAGCTCAGTGATTTCACCAAGTAAATTTCACTAAGGAAAATTTGTCTAAAACCTAGCACTTCCTTTAGGCAAACTACTAAAATGTCTACTACTTGTTGAATTAGCAAGTTTCATTTGCTATTAGAGATGGCTTCTTCTCTCTCTCTCTCTCTCTCTCTCTCTCTCTCTCTCTCTCTGTGTATAGTGATACCAGGGAAGGGAGCAGTTTGGTTCAACTGAGGCTAGTAGCATTAAAAAGTTCTTTAATGAATTTATTTTAGCTAATTTGATTTATATTTTATTTTGTATCCTCTTCGTAGTAACATTTGGTAAATATTTGTTTATACTGGGTGTTAGGCATTGTGCTAGACGTGGGAGTAGACGGCAGGAGGTGTGCCTTGGTTTCTGCGCTCTAGAAGGTTACTATCTATATAGCTGCTATTTATTGAGTACTACTGTGTGCCAGGCACTGTGGCTTACACACTTTATTTCTAATATTTACTATACCACAATTCTGCAAGGAAGGTATTACTCTTCCCACTTTACAGATGAAAAAACAGAGATTCAGAGAGGTTATGAACGTGCCAAAGGCCACACAGCTAATAAGCAAAGAGTATAGTTGATAAATATAAAACAGCGTAGTATTAACACCTAGAATGCTTTTAGGAAACATGTAAACCTTGAGAGATGCAAGAAAGAGTTTTTATAGAAAAATCATATGTATTGTCATCATAAGAATCAAAGTAGAAGAAAGAATTTGCTATTCTGTACTACAATTTTGTATGTCAGCTAACATAAGTCTAACTGTATGAATGAAGGAACACCAGATCTCAGTGATTTGATACACTAAATGTTTATTTCTTGCTAATAATAATCTTGATAGATGTCTGCGGACCTGTCTTTTGATCAGGAATCCAGGTTCCCTCCATCTTGTGACATTACCATCTCTATATGTGGCTTCAGGGTCATCCCAGCTGGGGAAGAGAGACCATGGAGATGGCACACTGAGTTGTAAATGCTATGACCTGGAAGTATTGCTATTACCCCTGTTCACATTTCATTGGCTAGAACCAGTCACATGGTCTTAACTAACTGCAAGAGGTTAAGAGAAGTCTAGTTTTCCCATGTGCTCAGGAATGAGAATGATTTATGTGTGAGCACCAGATATCTCTACCATGTATTTCATTATTTAGTCCCTGGTATGTTATTTGTCAAATTAACATAGTTTGCAGAGAATTCTGAAATAAAATCAAAGAATTATTATTTGTTATACCCAACAGACATATGATGGTTATATCCATTGATGTTATATTCATCTGTAGACTGATACTGGAAGTTACCCTGGATCTAAACCCTGTCCAACATGACTAATTTTTAACTGATAGTTCATTTCCCACCACAAACTTAAAGAATAAAATCTTAAAAATGTTGATTCAAGTACTGAAATGGAACATGGCTTCACTTTTTGATCAGTGCAACCAATTTTGTTGTTTTTATTTTAAATACATGATATAGTGCATATGGTACCACTAAAACTTCTATTATTTTATTAGTTTGTTTTTGCACCAAGCAAAATTTTGGAAAATCCTTAGCATACACATTTTATACTTGGGAAGGATTTAGGTTTCTCTATACATAGTCAAATTTTATGAGATTGGATGGCCTATCCTTAGGTTCCTAGGGGCCATCTACCCAGCTCTTGAATAGAACGGCTCTGGAAATCCCCGTTCTGTTAAAGCTGTTACTTTGCAGCACCATTTGATGCTTTGATCACTGTTGTCTCTTGAAAATGCTCTTAGCTTTATGTCTGCAGCTTCAGTTATCATCTATGTCCTGAATACTTTTCACATTATTTTTCTCCAGCCCAGTTCTCTCTGAGCTCCAGACCTTTATGTTCAACTGCCTGTTTGACTCACCACCAGCTCAAAATCTGACTTACATCTTCCCTCATGTTCACTGCTCTAGTGGAGTGGCACCACCGTCCTTCCGGTTTCTCAAGCAACGAGGATTTTTTTCTTGATGCTTTGCTCTACGATAATCCCCATCTAAGTCATTATCAGTTCTATCAACTTCACTTTCTTAAATCTCTCTGAAATCATTGATCTCCATTCTACTTCCACCATACTGACCCAAGCTGTCATTATCTCTGGCCTATAATACTGTCCACTTTTGTTCACTGTACCTGGGATGGTCTTTTCAGAATGCTAATCTGATCATGACACCCTCTCACTGAAATCCCATTGTTTTTAGGATTAAGGTCTATATCTTTAACGGGTTTACAAGGCCTTGCACATTCTGTTTCTCCTCCGCCTTTCCCACCTCCTCTTGCACATCTTTCCCCCTGGTGCTCTCTGCTCTGAGCATCATTCAGTTCTGTGAACCTGATATGTTCCCTCCTGCCTCAGGACCCATGTGCCTGCTACTCCATGTTTTAGGACTGTGCTGTGCAATACTGCAGTCACTAGCCACCTGTGGCTATTAAAATTGAATAAAATTAAAAATTCAATTCCTCAGTCCCACTATCTCCATTTTAAGTGCTCAGAAGGTGCACGTGGCTACCATATTAGTGAAGATATAGAACACTTACATCTTTGCATAAAGTTCTATTGGACAATGCTATTCTAGAATATTCTTTACTACCTTCCACACCCTTCCTCCTGTGTGACTACCTCAAGGAAGCCTTCCCTGTCCTCCCCTTTCAGTTCCTAGTAAAGTCAGTTTTCTTTGTATCTAAGTCCACCAGCCAAAGACTACCGTGAACACATCTGCAGTCAAAGTTACATTTATTTAGCCTGCTCCTGCAAGGGGCCCTTAGGGACAACTCAGCAAGAGAGAGTTGGGAGGAGCTCTTGGTAGTGTTTGGGCTTGTTACGGATGAGTCTAAGAAGGGATCATGGAAGTGACAACCAGCTCTGGATTTCATATGTCAAGACGTTGGGGCAGTCTAGAAACTGGGTACCTCGGTCGTCATTGTTCAGGAGATGGGATGAACAATGCAGGGCTGAGGCTATCTTTGCCAAGAAGGCATCAATCCCACGGAAGGGGGGGATGTTACTCACTTTTGTACCTGTGTTATTGTCTTCTGGGGTTGTGTTGGGAGCATTGCTTGTCTTCTGTTGGCCTTGTCCGTGTGCTGTTGGAAGCAGTACATTCTGTTAGAAGCATCAAGGCTGATTGTCAGTGGGACTGATTTTTACTTTCTCGGTGGTGATGTGCTCTCCTAGAACTCTGTTGTTCTTCTTAGAGTGCCTGCACACAGTTTGTAAATTTTTAAATTAATGATTATTTGACTAATATTTTTCATCTACTAGGTCGGAAGCTTCACGACAGCAGGGACTGCTGCTCTTTTTGTTCACTGTGGTATCCATAGCACCTAGCATGGTGTCTGATGCAAAGTAGATGCTCAGCAAATATTTATTGAAAGAGTGGATGAATGAATAAATGAATCATAAGACCTAAAAAATTGGTGGCTGATCAAAGACATGGAATTATTTTGCTATATCTGATTTTACCACTGTTTAGAATCATTGTCTTTTCATAGTAGATTCTTAGTAGATGTCTCTTTCCTCCCACCCAAGGAAAAAACTAGAATTCTAATATTCAAAATTTAAATATAACATTCTAATATTCCTTGATGTCTAAAGTCCTTTAAGGATAATCTAGAAAATATATGTTACCATACTTCCTTTACTACCATTTTTCTCAGGCCAAATGATTAAGAAATGTATAGATGCGCTGCATCAAATCACAGCGAGGTATGGTGATGTTGGCTGTCTGCCTGCCTTTTGGCATCCTACAAATTATATTAAAATGTTTCCAAACAGTTGTGGAAACTTGGTAATTGTAGTCAGAATGGCCTGAGTGTTTTGGTTCTAATTCTTTTTTTTTTTGACCAGAACTTTTTATTTGACTAAATTCTACTTCATGCATAAGCATGACAGTCTCTCCTGTTTATTAGACTTTGGCAACAAAAAGAAAACCAAGCAGCCTTGTACAGCAACAGTGAAAATGCCAAGGGTGAGGGTAGCCTACAGTTTTACTGTAGGATAAATATATATGTATATTTTTAAAAGGCCTCTCTCCCTTTGGCCATATCAACAATCATTTAGGGCCATCATAAAGGATTGTGATGTTTTCCAGGTAGAGTATACATTTAATTTTTTTTAATTATAAAGATAATGTAACCGAATTAAGGATAAATGTTTAAACTCGGAAAAAGTAATATCCATGTCAGTAATATGTCAACTATTTTAATTTTTTCATAGTTCTTGTTTACATGCTCATATTATTGGATTAAGAGTTTTTATTTGTTAGCCCATAGTTGACAGTCTCTTTGAGTCTGAATAGTTGTAGTATATCACATCTTCTTACATCCCCTGGGACATTAGAACCCTAGAATGTATCAGTCCAATATGTTTTAGTAAGCAAGTCTATCCTCAGGCTGCACGGTGCTATGGCATGGGCAATGAACTCATTCAGGGCCTTGCTTATTAATACTGGTTCACCATGTGTTGTTACGGGTTACCACATATTCCTTCAAAGAAGACCTTTGAAATGCATCTTCTCTGTCTTGGAGTCATTTCCTTAAATGCTCTTTTCATCGTGCTACCTTCCTACTCCAAAATTTCCTAATTCTTAAATATATTAAGGATCAAAGCAAAGTTCACAACAGCCATAAAATCTTTCCAGAATTTTGCTGATCTTCCTTTCCTGGTAATGTTCATTCTGTACTTTTCCAGTCAGGACACCTGAATAAATGAATGGATGAATGCTTTAACATAGACCTTCATATCTAGTCATTTACTGTATTTCAGTTTCTTTTGTTGTCATTTTTCATATGAATTTACTCACCTCCTCAACCAATTTTTATATATTTGAGGCAAAGAAAGTGCCTTATATATTTTCTCTATGTCTCTTGGCACCAGTCAGATGCTGAAGCCCCAGAATATTTCCATTTAATGCCTTGTTGATGGGTTGACTGATTGCAAAAGAAACACAAATCTGTATCTTTGAGTCTCTGTCATGATTAATAAACTAGTTAACAAATACTTGTCAGATGCTCCTGGGCTGCGTTTGGGTAAACTTTGAAGGGCAAACTGTCTTCTCGGATCCACGGAGCTTATAAGATTGTATATAAATAAAGATCCTATGTATGTACATATGAAGTGTGAGGTGAGGGCACACTGCATTCAAGTGATGGTGGTTAGAGATTGTGAAGGAAATTTGGAAAATAGCTGTGAGTAAACCTTTCCTGAGAAGGAAATCTTCGAATTACTTGTCAAAGAATGGAAGTTTATGGCAGAGAAATGAAAGGCAAGATGGTTGTTTCTTAGAAAGAGACACTAGAAAAAAGGCCACAGCGGAAGGTCCAGATCTGTGTGGTCCACCAAGTGCTTTTTCATCAATATTCTATTATATTTACTTTAGGATCAAGAGTTAGGGCTTTTGGTGCATCTGCTTTTAAGAAGGTTCTAAAATGTAGCAAAGTGCATCCTACTTGCACTAAATATACAGCAACTGAATGTCTGTGGACCCAAGCCTTTTCACATGTAATACTAAGACTTAGAATTTCCCTCCGCAAAATTACTTTTAACACTGTTGTGATAATGAAGATCTTAGAGAAGGGCATTGAGTACGATCAAGTGATTACTATAGAACAGAATTTTTGTTGTTGTTGTTGTTGGAAGAAAAAAATGTCAGTGTGAACTTCAGTTTCACAATTTTGCCTGAGTATGGAACAGAATTTAATACACATAGATAGAGCTCACCACGTTCCAGGAACTGTTTGTAGTACTTTATCTCTGCTAATGCATTTAATTCTTCTCATCACTATAAGTAGGCATTTTACAGCTGAAGAAAATATGGCACTTGCCTCAGTCTACATAGGCAGCAGGTAAAAGAGCTAGAACTTGACCCTAGAACTTGACCCTAGAAAGTCTTGCTCCAAAAACTATGCCCCAGAACTCTAAATACTGCTTTATGATACGCTATGTGGCTTCTCTGTAATGAGTATTCCGTTAACTCAGAATTTGTGACTTTTGGAATAAGTGTTGGAGATAAGAAAATGGAAGAGATGTTTACATGTTTGAGGAAACAGTTTCCAGTACCTGGAGACAATTTAGGAACACCTGTGGACATGTCAATGTGGACATGTGAATAAAAGCACAAATGCATTTTCTGTTGAATGTAATTCTCAGTGTGCAGGTGGTATGCAAGTTCTGTACACAAATGGTAACTATTTTCACTGTAGTTGAAAACATAATGCCAAGAAAATGTGTAATTTTCCTTTCTAAAATGGGGACAAAACAGTTTGGATACATTTGTCACTTTTTTTTTTCCTGCATAATGACTCACCTATTTGTTCTAATTTTGGTGACTTTTAAATTTTGCAGAAATTTCGGAGTGCTTCAGTTGGGGCTGAGGAGTACATGTATGACCAGACATCAAGGTAGGTTACAGGAGATGCCCCTAGAAACTGATGAACTGATACCTGTTTAAATGTATCGTCAAGTTATACTTTTACACCTTTAAAAGAAAATTCTTTTCTCTACACAATGACTTCTAAATTACTATTTCCAGTCTTGATCAATTTTCTGAGACCTACCTGTACCCTTCCTTTGTCCTTTTGCTGCTAGACATCCCTTCTTAGGTGTTCCTCTAAACCTCAGGCACTTGGGCCTCCAGCACAGCATGTACGTGTCTTTTCCTCTTCTTTCCTTCCTTCTTCACTTCTTTCACATCTGTTCTTCCACTTTTATTTCTTGTTGTGCCTAATGATGCCATCCTCCCAGCCACACACTCCAGAGGTGCAAGGTGCTTGCCTTCCTGCTACACGTTCATGGCATTTGCCAAGTGCTGGATGTCCTATTCTACCTGTCCTGTCTCTTCCAATTTACTCTTGTGCATATGCTTCTGAGCTGTTGCAACATAACAGGTTGCCCTGCCAGCACTTTCTTTTCCCTTCCGTTCCACTTTGGACATTTCTACCTACTAGCTGTCACAGACTTTGGTGCCTTCCATCTTCCAGCAATGAGATAGGGATTGAGGATAAGTTATAACCTGTCCTTAAAAGAGGCCCATAGACTTTTGCAGGAGACCTGTGTGATGTCATACAAATTGCAATACATTTGCAAAATGATGAGTCCTGCTACAGAGATACATGAATAGACAGCTGAGATGACCTGCAGGCCTGGGTGTGTGTGGGGTGTGAGTGGGATGGGACCAGAGGAAAGCTTTACAAGAAGTAGCATTTGAGCTGGATTTTGATGGATTATCAGGAGTTTTCCAGGGAAAGAAGGAGGATTAAGAACATTCTAGGTAGAGGGGCCACATGTTCAAAGTCCTTGGTCATGATCATGCCTGTAGACAGGAGAGAATGGCAAGGATGAATTAATCCATCCCATTTACAAAACTTATCAGTGATTTCACCATTTCAGACAGAATAAGACACAAATTCCTTATGAAGGTAGTTGGGGCCGTCTATGTGCTGGTCCCTTTTTACTGTAAACCTTGTCCCCCACTGTATTTCTTGGCCCTTTGCTTTTACATGTATGGCCCTCTTCTCTTCTCTCTGTTTCTGCTTGAAGCCCTCCTGCCCCTTCAGGGTCTTGCTCCAGCCTCAGGCTCCCCAGTCACCCTCTCCAGATTCTCCCAGCCAGAATTTGGGTGTGCAGTGGTGATGAAGGGTAGGGGAGAGGCAGAGAAGATAAAGTTCCAAATCACCTTCTAAAACGTGGAAATACATGTATAATTTGCATGCTGTCAATCCAGATAACCATGCAGCCAGCTATCAGGCCAGTGAAAAGAGCAACGACCCACCAGTCATGTGACCTGGTGTCTCTTTCTGCTGCTGTCATTGTCTCCAGGGGTGAGCAAGTTTCTCAGTCTCTCCTCAGCTGTGAAATGAGGAAAGTGGTTCTTATCTTGTGTTGTGGATGAGCTTGGGGGACGTGAATCCCTTGAAATTATATTAAAAATCATTAGTGTTCATATGTGCTTTTATCTGGGAAGAGGGTTCACAGCTTTCTTCATGTTTTTCAAGCAGTCTGTGACCTAGACAAGTTGCACGCTCCTGGTCTAGGTGATTCCTAATATCCTGTCCAGGTCTCAAACTTTATGATTCAGTGGGTTATCTTGAAATTGCTTTTTCTAGGCAAAATGACAGTGGAATTGGTTCTGTCTTGCATGATTTATTTCCCACCTTATTCTAAGACACATATTCTGGAATTTGCTTTGTTTATCAGCTTAAGCCTAAGATTTTTATCATGGAAGAGGAATATTATTTTGCCCTTCAAATTTCTTTCTCATTATAAAAGTTAAAAAAAACCCAAAAATTGCAGAAATATTCAACATAGAAAGCAAGAGTCCCCTATAATCTTGTAAGTAGATCATTTTAAGAGGCGAACTTCATTTTTGCACACAGCCTTTCACAGACTGAAATTAAAGAGCTAAAAAAAATAGATAGACCCAGTGAAGAGCCTCTGATGATTCTCAGAAAACACACAAAGCACTTGTAATTGGATCATCATTGTGTGCCATCCTGCAGTGACAGAAATAAATATTCTGAATGAGCATCTTAAATAAAGAGATTGTGATTCATATCTGTTGCTCATTTTGAACAATGCGTATATTCTTCAAAGTTGGGAAAATCAGTGTTTTTATTTTATAAGTTAGCTTGTATTTGTAAAATATTAGGGAAATTATTAAGAGCAGGGATCTGCAAACTTTTTTTCTGTAATGGGCTAGATACTAAGTATTTTAGGTTTGGCATACTACACAGTCTCTGTCACAGCTACTCAACCGTGCTGTGGCAACACAAACAAACAAACAAATGTAGCTGTGTTCTAGTAAAACTTTATTTACAAAAAACAGGCAGCTAGCTGGCTTTGGCCGACAGGCCATTGTTTGCAAGCTCCAGATTTAGAGCAGTAACCCTGTCATGAGTTCTTTTGCAGGCTTAAAAAACAAAACCCCCAAATCAAAAATTACTCCCTGTTATGGAGCTAGATTCCATATAGATTTCAATAATGAATGAGTTCTAGATTTTTACATTTTGAACTATTTTAAAGTGGGATGTAGCTATTTGCAACACCTTGGCTAGACAAAAGAAAGTTGGTATACGGATGAATTGAACAAAACCATTCACATATTTGGCTTGTTGCTAGGATGAAAGTGGCAAATTTTAGCGATTCTTAAGTTCAGGCATTACCAAGGACCAACTAAAACCTAACAGAGGCTCCCCCGGCTCCGCCTGGCACAAGTAGACGGGCACATTGTGGACTTTCTCCCCTTCTAAACCATCTGGTTTATGGGCCGCTATTAGAAATGTTGTGTGCAATGTACTAACAGTGACCTTTGGTATGGTCTCATCTCCTTTGCCATGTGCTGTGTTTTGTCTCTGAAATGGAGTAAACGTTGGTTAATATTCATACAAAATGCTATTGATGTGAAATTGATCCAGAAGCCAGAAATGTCCAAGTGAATGAATCTGACCGCTATTTGTCTTCTGTTCACAGTGGCACATTTCAATACACCCTGGAAGCCACCAAATCTCTCCGTCAGAAGCAGGGGGAGGGCCCCATGACCTACCTCAACAAGGGACAGTTCTATGCCATCACGCTCAGCGAGACGGGGGACAACAAGTGCTTCCGACACCCCATCAGCAAAGTCAGGGTAAGGGCCTCATTTCTCCAATAAAGCACAGAGGGATCAGGTGAAAGCAGTGACTACCTGCCAGCCTTGTGGAAGGGCATGGAAAAAAATCCCAAAATAAATAATTCTAGAACAAATGTCAGAGAGTTGGGGCAAGAGAACTTATTGGCTTGCAGTTTATCATCTTAATCAGTAACTAATAAACCCCAGGGAAGGGACGTGGTTGGAACATGCTTTCTGACTGTATCCAAGGAATTTCCCCAGCTTCATTCATTGCCTATGTGCTACCTAGTTGTTGTCGTCGTTGTTTTCAATCAAATGATGTGCAGTTTTCAGGTAAGCAGCTGTAAGTCAGAGCGTATGTGTGGGCAGGAAAGAGCTGGGCTTTCTTCTGAAAAGGAGGGTGCAGTTCATTCTGCGTCCCTGGGCCCTCCGCAGCTTTGCTAAAAGACTTCTGCAGCCTGGCACTTACTCAGGAGTCAAGAGGTGGGCATGATATGATCCCTACCAGGAGTGACTTGGAGGAATTTTCACATTCACGAGTTATTAGTTCTATTTGTGGGACATGAAACTGCCTTGGAAGCCTGCCAGCTTCTGGCATTCTCGCTACTGCCAAGAAGGGAGGGAACTGGTAATCCCTGTCGACTGAAAAGGAAAATTATAGCAGAGCTCTCAAAAGAGGTTGAAGGAGTTTCGTGCCCTGTTGTAAAATGATTTATGCTGCTGTGTGCGTGGTGTGCACTCCGAAGCTCTTTCCTCTGCATACTGAGAAAGGAGCGCCGTGCTGTGCCGAGCCCAGTGAGTTTACCCCAACCCAGATTCCCAGGCAAAGGTAACCCCTGAGGTAGAAGAGAAAAGAGTGTCCAGGCGCCTGCTGGCCGGTTTGCCTGTTACTAGCTTTTAGGTAAAATCATTGCAGTGCTGCTTTCTTGAATCAACCCGGTTTTACGGCTTTGTTTCCAGGAGAAAGACAAGGAAGAATTGCTGCTCATTTGTCCAGCAGGCCTTTCTCCCTCCAAGGCCATCCCAGTTCCAGATCGGAGTGACAGGAGGCAGGAGGCAGGGCGGTTGAGAGTGAGGGGAAAGACAGGAAGGATGTGGGGCTAACGACCCACCTGAGGCTGAACCCGTGGCAGGTGGAAAAGTGCTGAGTTTGCCCTCCAGAGGAGTTAGTATGTTCCGACCCTGAGGTCAAGGCTACGGTGGAGGTATGCCGTCAGCCGCAGCAGCATCATCGTCGTCATCATCCCCATCATCACGACAACCAGGGCCACAATGTGACAGCTAGTCTTTATTGAGTGTATCTTCTGTGTGCTGGACACTGTGTTGAGCACTGTACATCTAGTAACTCGTTGAAACTAACAACAGCCCTATGAAATAGGCCTTCCTTTTATAATGTTACAGATGAAGAAACTTGGCCTTTTAGAAGCTAGCAACTGACCAAGGTTACATAGCTCAAACGTGAGGGAACTGGGTTATATCCCAAGCAGTCAGACCCCTGAACCTACTCTCTTAACCGCTAAGTGTACTGTGTTGAGTAGCATGGAGGCCTGAAAGGCAGACGGATTTTAGCATGGGATCCACCTCTGGAAATATATCCTAGAATTTGTATCCGAAACCCTCACATGTGGATGCCTGGTAAGAAGGCACTGGATACATAGTCTTAAAAAAAAAAATCTTGTAGATTACAAGTGTATAACTCATGTATACACCTTGTTGGTAACAACACTGTTACCATCACCCTGAAAGGATGACGCATGGTTAGTAATCTGAGGCTATGACAACAGTTTGTAGTGCAGGAACTTTTCCAAGAACTTTCTTTCATTGAAATCATGGAAGTGATCGAATATAGACATTTTATTTCCTTCTGTTGCATTTTGCCTAAAACCAAGAGCCTTCCTTCTCTTAAGGACTTCAGTCTAACAGCCTTGGAGAGTAGGATGGCCCTTCTCAGAATGGACCTTTCTCACTCCTAGGCTCTGTTAGAGCCAGCAGTGTGGAGAAATGAGGGATGCACTTGGAACCTCCTAGCGCTGATTTCTGAGAACCGTGTTGCATCCCGAGTCGAAGCTTAGCCGTGGTAATAGCAGTTTCAAACGGCCTTTCTCCTTACCACTGGAAAAATACATTTCCATCCCAAGAATATGCCATTTTAGTCGTGTGCTAGAAAAAATTACCTGAAATGTTATTTTTATTTTGGAACAGACAGAAAAAAAACACCAGGAGGCTGGGCAGTAAACGCTTACATATAAATGGAAAAGCCCGGGGAAGGGGGAGGGAGGATGGAGAGAGGCTGAGCCCAGAGTTCCACCAGCCCAGCCAGTGGATCCCTTTGTTGCCAGCTCTCCTCCATGCCTTTGAGGGTCATGCCGCTTGTGAATGCAAATAGTATGGATGCACATTTCTAAACTAGCTTTTCTAACAGACATCTGCTTTCTTGTGTAACAAATGTTTACATACCACTGGGAATAAGCCAGATTTTGACTTGACAGTTCGGTCACAGACATGTATTTGGTATCTCTTATTTGTCGGGCACCAGGGCCCCCGTGGTGAGTGACTCTGTCCCAGCCCTCGTTGAGATAGGCATCAGTGGGAAGACATTGCCATGGGCTGAATAATTGTAAATAATTAGGTAGATGACTACAAGTATGTGAAATGCTACAAAGGAGAAGTTATTAAAGAATGAGAGTCATTGAAACATTCTTCTGGAATAGCAGAAAAATGTCTAAGAAGTATTTTGCATATGGAATGAGGGGGGGAGTATATCCCTGGATACGGTATTCCTCATGCTGTAATTACAGGGTTTTTGCTTTTTGTTTTTTTGGTTTGTTTATTTGTTTGTTTTTGGTACCTCCTCCATCTCATAAATGACAATGAATTAACATATATTTAGTTGAACAAGGCTGTAACTTAGAAGTGAAAGCAGTTTGGGATACTTATTTCTACAAGACATTATTAGTTTCTCATGCTCATTTTAAAAGTACATCCACATATTTTTATAAATAACGTAGTTGACCTTGTAGCTTTTGGTCTATGAAATATCTGTAGCTTAGATCTTCGTTCATCAATATGAGCTCATCTTTTAGTATTTCTCTCATTATTCCCACTAATCCAGCCAGAGGCACTTAATTAGGCCAGAAACAGATGTTTGCTCCTTTACAAAAGCACCAAATTCTATGTTTAAGGATATGAAATTTCAAAAATGTCCTTGTTTCCAATACAAGAAAAAAATCTTTTTTGGTATGCCCACTCAGCTCACACAATAATAAATTTGCCGGTAAATTGGATAATCTGTTTGTTTATGATTCATGGTGAAAATGATGTAGCATTCTTTTTCACTATGTGCTGTTCTCGTTTCCCATTCAGTTTTTTAAAGTAGGCCCATTTTCAAACAAGACAAACCATACGCCTGGGCTTATTGGGCTTTTCTAAAGCAAGAAAAGCAAATTTACAGAAATTACAGCAACCCACCTCTGATAGAACTTCTAGAACTGGAGAGTGTGTGAAGCAGGAGTTGCTGAACAGAAAGTAAGCTCCGTGGTTCTCCCCCTCTGCAGAGCGTGGTAATGGTGGTCTTCAGTGAAGACAAAAACCGGGACGAGCAGCTGAAATACTGGAAGTACTGGCACTCTCGACAGCACACGGCCAAGCAGAGGGTCCTCGACATCGGTAAGTTGACCTTGACCCCCCGGCACGGCCTTTGGTAAACTGCCATGTTGTCATGATGCAAAGGAGAGCCCAGCCCAGAAATCACAGCTGGGACCCACATCACTCTCATGATGTGCCAGGCACTTGTCTGTGCACCTTTCCTATGTTTTAGTACATTTAGTACAAATCAGGCTGAGAAGTCAAAATCAGGCTAAGCTGAGAGCAAAACACTTTTCGTTCCATAAAAGTCAACTTTGTCTCCTATAATAATAGATTTAGCTTTGCAACGGCCGTGCCAGTTTCTAAAATATATTTCCATGCCCTCTTGTGTTTGAGCCTAATAATTGGCAGGCAGGCCAGAGGAACTGTTATCCCCCTGTGGCGCGAATAACCTCAGCTCACTTGGTTCTAAGCTACTTGCGAAGGCCACGTGACTAGATACAGCATTCTCGTTCTCTAATTCTCCATCCCATGTTCCTTCCATCCAAACACATGTCTAGTGCAAGTGGTCCTAGGTGATCAGACAAATGCAATGTTTGAGAGAGCTTTCCCGGCAGCAGAGAAGGAATGGACCTGCCAAGTGCATTTTCTGGAATCTGTACATTCCTACACATGATGTCTGTTCTTCAGAGACCTAGAGCCCTCTGGACAAGACTCAGAGTCCCGTCAGGAAAGCAGAGCCCACACCAGGTGGTTCCATGGAGATAATTCATTGCCAGAGTTGGGAGGGCTGAAGGCACCGTGAGGCAGTGCAGACAGGAGCAACAGCACGAGTCTGCTGCTCTTAGCTGGAGGGCCAGAGGATCAAAGGGAGAGGTGCTGGGTGTTGTGAGAGCTGCCCAGCAGGAACAGGCACCAGCTGGAGCTGGGACCACAGAGGGAGCAGCTTTCCAAGACCAGGCAGAACCTCAGAGGAGTCGCTGCCAGAGACACCCCTCAGTGCCCAGAGGGTGGGGGGAGAGGGGCTGCCCTGGCTTTGCCCTGCCTCCCAGTCTCCCCCAGTGCTTCCCGGTGGCCACGTTACCCTGAAGCAGAGGGCGTGTGACCCTGGCACATGCACTTTGCAGGAATCAACCTCTGAGACACAGAGAAAAGCAGGGGAAGTCAGGGATTGCATCTCAAAGTACCTAGAAATTACTTAAAAACGCAGTAACACAGCAAGTCCCCTACCAACGAACGAGGTCCCCTCCAAGAGCGCGTTTGCAAGTCCAATTTGTTCGTAAGTCCACCAAAGTTGGCCTGGGTGCCCAACTAGCACAATTGGCTCTATAGTACAGTACTGTAATAGGTTTGTAATACTTTTCACACAGATAAGACATAAAAGCAAACACAAAAAAACGAAGGAAACATTTCTAATCTTACAGTACAGTACCTTGAGAAGTACAGCACAACAGCTG